GTTATGACTCTCTGGGTTATAATTAGATGTAGGCTAAGTACTTTTTATAGTTCAATCCGCTTCTAAACATATGGTTCATCTTCAACCTAATGAAGGAATAATTTTGAGAAATAAAATATATGACTTTAAGAAATATGTACATATGATATATTATTATAAAAATTTTAGTTTTACTTACCCATTGAAGAAATCTTGGTAAAAAATTCAAGAATCTTGGATGGGATGTTATGCTGCATCCTCCATACAGATTTCGCTCAGCTTCATCTGATCACATTTTTTGTCGTAATTGGCAAATTTTTTTGTATGGAAAAACTTTCATTGAATACAAAAGGTTCTTGGTTCAGTATTTTGCTGATGAGAATCTCCAGAAATCTATGAACACGAAATTATGAAGCTTCCAGAAGAATGGAAAAAAATCAACTGATATTAATCTGCAATATAGAATTGATTGACATTTATAATTTTTATGCAAAAATTAATCAATATTTCACAGTACACTATTAAAATTACTTTTTTACCCACCTGATGCACATATATAATATACTAATATATTATAAATACTGCTAGGCCAAAATCTCTGTTAAATGCAATATAAATAAAATATAATATTTGATTTCTTAAATACGATTTCTCAATTACAACATCTTTATGTGTAATTTAATATGTTATATACATTTTTATTTAGTTAAAAAAATTAAAATGAATGTATTAATTATTAAAAATTAATAATTATTAAAAATAAATATTGCACATTTATTAGATATAATGACCATTTGGTGTAATGACGAATTTACCAAACTCTCTTTTTGAGTTATAAATTAAGAACCGTTTTATATCTTGTTTATATCTTTGTGCATCTCATTAATGTTTCATTGAAGTTGCCAGCCAATATCGATTTATAAATAAGATGTTACATTTTAGATTCTAAAAATAAAATAATTTATTAAGTTCGTTTTAAATTACCTTTAACTTCAACACATCGGGTTATTTTATTTCTGAACTCAACTTTTCCATAGTATTTCTGGATTGAGCATTTCCTGAGTACAAATTGCAAAATGAAATATTAGTCACAATTGTTCATTTTCAGAAAACCACCTTGAAAAAATATTGATTAAATCTATAATGATTAATGGATCCATATGTATAATAATCAACAAAATTTATTTTGACTTGCATTAATATACATTTAAATCCTCAGTCGAAATAAATGTATTTTTTAACATCTTAATCGCTTTAAAACAAAACTATAAAAAAAAACTCAATATAAAATTATATGAATTAATCAACGCTCTATTAATACAAAAATCATTTATTCGCTTTATATTTTTATCAATGCGTATATCATATCATTATATACTATTAATAATGTTGGACATGTACAAACGAACATAGTCTTAAATTTAGACATTATACTTATTAGCCTAAGTAACTTTAACAAATCAATTAGTTTGTCTTGAAAATTTAATCAATGAACTAATTATAAATTTTATAAAAAAAGATTAATTGCTAACTTTATAAAATATTATAAAGTATTTATGTGAAAATCCATCGAGTTTAGGAATTGCTTAATAAATTACTCATATTTTAACCATTTTTTGAAAACTATTTGTAGTTTGTTTAATATTGCCGAAACGTCCATATTAAAACATAAAGAAACAGTTCAAAAATAGCTTGATTTTAGTTTAATTAACAAAATTAACAGATAAAAATATTGGCTCCAATGTATGGTTAAAGTAAATGCTATTATTTTTTTAAAAACACATTGTGACTACTGATGTTATATAATGTATAATTGAATTCGATCATAAAATTTTTTTGAAATTATAGTAATAACCCAGTAAACATCGTGTGACCTGAGCGGCGATAGAAATCTGAAATCCACAAACTTGCCTTCAGCGCTGTGATATCTATGTGGAATTTGTGTGGATTTCAGATTGCTACCGCGGCTAGGAGTTTACTGGGAAAATATTAAAGAATTGTCAATTGCAATAATAGTATACCAAATAGTAGTACCGGAGGATAAAAATCACATTGCCTGTTAAAACATTAATTCCATAGACCTTATACTACTACATGGTCTGCCAGTCGAGCGGAAAATAAGTGCTCAAACATAGAAGGAACAGTGACGTCATTTGCTGAACGAACGTTGCCGACAATCACGAAACCTTCCCGATTGATTTATTGATATCATATATCATGTTTTATTTTAATAATATAATGGCAATTGTGATGGCTGATAATTTTAGGAGAAATGATATTAAAAAATTTAATAATCTGTAATAGTTTTATTACCATAATATAAAGGCAATTGTGATAACTGATAATTTTGTACAAAATGATAATACCTGTTACAATCGGTTTATATATTATAAGGCCTATGTTAGACACGTAACATATGATATTTAATCAATCACGAGAGTCCGCGATTGTCGTCGGCAATGTTCGCTCAGACATGTGACGTCACATACTCTTCTATGTTTGAGCACTTTATACAACGGAAAACATATGAAGACTAGCAGTCCATGTAGTGTGTAAAGTCCATGACTAATTCTCAACTTAATAAAAATAATGAAAATTGCTTCTTCAGTTTTCTTAGATTCCAAGTATGTAGCATTTAAATCAAAGCTTCGTGTTTAAGCAAAGTTTATTCTTAACAGAGAAGAACTTTGAATAAACACATTCCAGGTAAGATTGAAAATGTCAGTCAACCGAATAAACATCGATAGACATAATGCATTATTCCATATGGATAATGTAAGCAGTTCCTAATGGAAAATTCCAAAACAAATCGATTTACAAAGCTTTAAATAGTTTCAAGACAAAACTAATATGTTTACATACAATTAAATTATAATTTCGTATGCAAAACATCGAACCAATTAGACCATTTCATTCTCTTGCAACTATTCAATCAAACGATTATCAATAAAACATTGATTTGGGAAAATATATCACTATATATTAGAGATTTATTTCTGCATTTTATTTTGGTACAAAGTGACATAAATAGAACGATTTCATCTAAATAGGGCAGCTTTCTTTTAAATATATATAAGTTTTTTTTTTTGAATATTTCATATTATTTTTTCATTATTTCATACGTGCTTAGTGAAAATATGTATGTATAACGGTAATAAATAAACGATACTTTTTTGTAAAATAGTATTAACCGAAATAAAATAAATATATTTTTTGTAAATTAAAATTTAAAGCGTAATACTGACGTATAATAATCAATTTTAAAATACAAAAATCTTATTTTAAAATAATTTTAATTATGCCCGAATATATATTTATGTATTATGTGTATGCATACATCTTTGATTTATTTTTTAATATATTCATTTTTTTATGTTAAAGTTATTGATTTTGGAACACAATTTTGCTAAATGGTCGAATTTTGAAATTACATATTAAGGTATTTAAATAAGTTTTCAGCCAACGATTTATGATTTTTTTAAATTATAAGATATATGTAATAAAAGAAAGTTTTTTCTAATAATTTGTGTATGAAAAAATTAATTGTATATTTTAAATTCTGTGAGATCTTAAAAGTATACTATGCAATGATTTATATTACATATTATTTTTTATCAAATTTGGCATTTCAATCAGTCAATAAATCTAATTTAATTTTGTTTTATATTATAGTAATACAGCCAATCGAAACCTTATTATATTATGAGCTTGAAATTTTACTTATTCATTTTCATTTAGTTAATAGTTTATTACTTAAATTAGAATAAACTACGAATCATCATTACAATTAAATTATATACAAAGTTATTAGAATTAATTCTGGAATCGTTGACTGAAA